GAGGTCACCGCCACTTAGTGGCGAGTGGCGGTTGTTGTTGTTGATGTTGTTGATGTTCGCATACGACCTAGGGGAGGTCCATGATAGGTTCACATGCCATGTGTTGTTGATGTTCGTTGTGACTGCGAAATGAAAGCAGGTCACTGGGTTTGTAGCGTGGCACTGCGCCACCGCTCATATCTATACACACACATAGACAAATAAACGCAGATAGATAAAGGACCCCTGTATAGCCTACACATTCGGTTGGGGCAAGTGTTGTAAGCGAGCAACTATGAAGGCCGGAGCGGCACACGAGGGAGTGGGCGACCAACACCACGTCCGGCCGCCTTTGTCTCTCCCCAATGATGATGTTTACACACCACACGAGGTACTCACTTAAGGCTGGGTCGACCTAGAGGAGGCCTGGGACCGGTTTAAATATTCACCCCCTATTATTGGTCGTGAGCGGGAATCGAACTCAGGTCGCCGGGTTCATCGCGCAGTGCGTCAACCACTACACCACTTCTCCCCACCCAAATACACTGATACATACACACATGCTGCCATATATAGACACACACCCTATGTATACACACCCACAGTACGTACACACATGCTGCCATACATAGACACACACCCTATGTATCCACACCCACAGTACATACACACATACAGACTGACTACTATATGGAGTGAATTTTACTGGTAGTAATCTCCTGGTTACACCAGACCACAGGAGATTATTCTGTCCGTCCGTCCGTCGTGCATCCAAAATGAGAGGGGTGGGGCTGGGTGGAGAGGGGAGGGAGGGGAGGGGCGGGGTGGGGAGGGAGGGGATGGATGGGGAGGGGAGGGTGGGGGGGCTGGGTGGGGTGGGTTGGGAGGGGCTGGGTGGGGAGGGTGGGGCTGGGTGGAGGGTGGGGCTGGGTGGAGGGTGGGAGGGGTGGGGCTGGGTGGGGAGGGGCTGGTCACACCGTGGTGTCCTTATCAACGTTTAACCGACTCACGCCGGCTTGTGCCCGCCCTCACAGTCGGGAATATTTGCGGAATACACCACGCCGCCGTTGACCCTGGCCATTGACCGAGTAACTCAACGTTCCTACCAGCTTCCTCCGCAGGAATGTGTTACGTAAACAAATATGCACGTAAACAAACACAAGCAGACTATCGGGGCAAGTTCCCCTGGCAAGTAGCTATTGAAACGGCACGGCTATTGTTTCAACGCATATCTTATCAGCACCACGGCAGTTTTGGGGAGTGAGTTATGTCATCAAACATTTTTCGCAATGTTAGGGAAACTCTGCACCCGTTCCGAGGTTCAGCGTCTCGTCGGCAGGCTTGAAGCAATGCCGATCAACTTGCCGGTTGTTTACAGAGAAGAGTCCCGTCTCTCTGCCAGATAGGGGTTCGAGTCGGACCACCATAAACTATACAATGCGTGAGATAAAATGCCTCGCAATTAGGGTCGTCGTGGTAAGTATATATATATCGTGACAGAGATAAGCGGACAGTTTGCCTCCTTCGCATCCGTCTGTCCACTTACAAAATAACAGTATTTTTCTTTTCTTTACACATCCCATTCTTTACGTTAGTGCATCATTTCAGCAGGACTGTGGGTTCACCGCACACGAAAAAAAAACTCTGGACCGGATTCAACATTCAATGTCTCATCAGCAGAGTCGAGATGGCTCGACCCGCTGTTGGCGAACTGCCACAGGAGGAGTCACTGAACGTCGAAACCGCTTCAGAATGTTGCTTGTTTAAACAATCGGTGCCGCCACATCGCTAACACGCCAAATCCGAACAAACATAATTAATCATATCTGGCCTCTGCCAGATATGTGTGCGTGTGTCTGTGTGTGTGTGTCTGTGTGTGTGTGTCCGGCCGTGGTGCTGGCCACCTACCCCCTCGTGTACCGTTCCGGCCTTCATAGGTGCTCGCTAACATTACTTGCCCCAAATGTATGTGATGGCTATACGGGGGATATTTGTCTTCGTGTGAGCGGTATTCAAGCGGCTAGGGCGCTGCGCTACGAACCCGGCGACCCGAGTTCGATTCCCGCTCATGGCCATCAACACCAGTGATGATCCCCTAGGTCGATTCAGACTCAAATGAGTACCTGGTGCGGTGTGTAAACATCGCCACGATTGCGACAAAGGCGGCCGGGCGTGGCGCTGGTTACCGATCCACCCCTCGTGCGCCGTAAAGCTGAGGCTACACGGGTGATCTTTGTCTTGTTTTGTGTGTGTGCATACGATGCGGACGTGCGTAAGACATTGTCAGACAGCCCGGGAAAAAAACTAAATAAAATTGTATTAAATACACATACAACAAATTAAACATCCCAATGTAAGATGCAATTACAGCTACATTCTGGCAGCCTAATAAAGGATCTTGGTTGGATTGCCACTTTCAATGTCTTGACAAAGATTGTACATTTTCTTTTGTAGTATATAATTGTGATTTGTTTAATAAATATATGCTTAAGGTTGCATTCTTGCAGATATTTATTGCATCTGAAATAACAAAAAAAACTGCTGAAATTACGAATAGTGTGGGACGAAAGGGAGGGTCTGTGCGAGATGATCCCCGACACAAAGATCCCCCGCGTAGCAGCAGGCGGAACTGTTGTGGTGCCGTTAGCGGAGTGCCTCGTGAAGGGCCGACACGGCACTACGCGAGGGGTGATGTGGCCAGAGACACCACGCCCGGACGCCTTTGTCTTACCCCCCACCCCCTCCCCCCCTGCAGTAGCGATGCTTTTACACATCTGACCGGGGTCACTCATTTGAGGCCGAGTCGGCCTTAAGGGAGGCCCAGGACCCGTTCAGATAATCGTCACTGGCGGTGGCCGTGAGCGGGGATAGAACCTTCGTGGCCAGGTTCGTGGTGCAGTGCGTCAACCACTGCGCCACCGCTCCCCCCCCAACCCCACCCCACACAGATCAACAAAGACAAAGATTCCCCGTATATCCTCAACAGACGCTTGGGGTAAGTGTTGTTAGCGAGCACCTATGAAGGCCGACACGGTACCCCCTCGTGTACCAGCACCACGCCCGACCGCCTTTGTCTCCCCAGGCGCGATGTACTCATATGAGGCCGAGTCGACCTAGTGGGGGCTCAGGACCGACTCAGATAATAGTCACTGGTGCCGGCTGTGAGCGGAAATCGAACTGGGGTCGTCGAGTTTGTAGCGCAGCACGCTGACCGCTGCACTACCGCTCCCTACACAGATCGACACACGCGTACACTCTGACTACCCCACACGCACACAAGAAGCACGCGTACTCTAAGGTCGAGTCACCTTCAAATGAGTACCTGATGTGGTGTGCAAACCTCCGATTAGCGCGGTCGGCTGCGTACGGTGCGAAAGAAGTTGAACACACGCACTCTTGGTAAACATCACCACTGGGGAGACACAGGCGGCCGGGCGTGATGCCGTTTCGGCCTGCGTCGGTTGGTGCTGATGAACAGCACGAGCCCCCCGAAGTCTTTGCAATTGCCTTTCGGAGCGTGCGTGAGGGTCGCTGTGTCGAGGGGGTGGAGGGGTGGCTGGCTGGAAGAGCGTGGAGGGAGAGGCACCCCCCCACCCCCTTCTGTTGAGGGGGGGTGGGGGGGCTGGAAGAGCGTGGAGGGAGAGACACCCCCCCACCCCCTCCTGTTGAGGGGGGGGGGTGGCTAGAAGAGCGTGGAGGGAGAGGCACCCCCCCCACCCCCCACCTCCCCACTCCCCACCCCCCCACCCCCCACCTCCCCACCCCCTCCTGTTGAGGAGGGGGGCGGGGGGCTGAGCTGGAGTCCTTTCTACGAATGTGACATTTTGGGTTTCCACCTCCATGCGTCTCAAGACGGCGCCTCCTTTGTGCTGGCGTTGCCCCCCGACCACTTAAACACGGCCCGGTGGCAGCGCCCATTCGTCTGGCCCTGTGTGTGGCCCCGTGTGTGTGTGTGTGTGTCTGCTCGGTGTCGTCTGTGTCTGCTTGTGTCTGCGTCGTCTGGCTAAGTCTGGTGGCTGTGGAGTTACGTCTGGCCCTCCCGTGCCGTGCCGGTCTTCACAGGGTGCTCGCGAACATCGCTTGCCCCAACAGTCTGCTCAAAGGCTGTACTTGGGGATCTTCGTTTGTTGTGTCTGGCCCTGTCTGACTGTGTCTGTGTCTGGCACTTGCGTGTGACCGGGTGGCTCTGTGTGGTTGTGTCTGACTGTGTCTGTGTCTGGCTGGGTGGCTCTGTGTGTGGCTGTGTCTTTGTGTGTGTCTCGGGTTTGTGTTTTTCAATCTGCCACACACATACATACACTGTGTGTGTGTGGCTCTATCACTGTCGGTGTGCATCAATGGCTGTGTGTATGAACGTGTCCGTATGACTTTGTCTAATGTATATTCAATTGCATATGTGTTTGTGTTGGTCGGACAGAGGCGGCTCAACGGGCATTGGCACAGGCTACAGATGAGATGGGCTAAGGTAGGGGAGGATTTGGAGCTGAATGGGTTTGCCAATGACTGGTACCAGCGGTGTCAAAATCGGTATCTGTGGAGGAGGAGGCTCGTTAAGGACGCTACTGGACAATTGGAGGCAGTCACCCTCCGACAACAACAGAGGGCAAATGAGGGATTCTCACAACAACGAGCGGAGCACCGCGCGGCTAAAACGAAGCAGTCGAACCCATGGGTCTGACTTGTGATCTCCTGCCAGCGGCGAGCTTTGCACACTTCACGTGGCTTCAAAGTGCACATAGCCTGGCACAAGCATCGTGGTGCCCACGCCGCCGCCACTAAGTGGTGAATGGCGGCTGTTGTTGGTGTGTGTTGTGTGTGCTTTCATTCAGAGCCAGCCAGAACCTTAATGTCACCGAATCCCTCCTTTATAGGCCTGCTTGGGATGTAATGTAGAGCGTGTACTTGGGATGTAATGTAGACCGTGTACTTGGGATGAAATGTAGAGCGTGTACTGGCGAGGGACACCAGAGATTAGCACAAACAGATCACTGAGTTCCACTCGGTAATAATCGCAATAACATCCTTTATTTACTTACCCATGACTAGTCTCAATGTGTTTATTTTCAGGAGGGTCATGCTACATTGGGACGACTGGTCATACAACAACACAAAGACAAAGATCCCCCTGCCCCCCCCCCCCTTAGCCTTCACAGACTTTTGGGGCAAGTGCTGTTAGTGAGCAGCACCTATGAAGGTCGGCACGGCACACGAGGGGGTGGGTGGCCAGCACCACGCCCGGCCGCCTTCGTCTCCCGAGTGGCGATGTCTACACACTTCCACACAAGGAACTCATTTTAGGCCGAGTTGACCTATGGGGAGGTGCAGTAGCGGTTGAGACAATCGTTGTTGGCCGTGAGTGGGAATCGAACTCGGGTTGCCCGCTGTGTAGTGCAGCGAGCTAATTACTCCCCAGCACGAACACACGAACACACACACACACATTGATGAGCAGCAAAAGTGAACTGACCACATACATACTCCAGCATACGCTGCAACGTGCATACACGCACAAGACAAAGCCCTCCTGTGCATCATTTAACAGACTATTAGGGCCAAAGTGCTTCTAGCCTTCAAGGCACATGAAGGTAATACGTGGCCAACACCACGCCCGTCCGCCTTTGTCCCCCCAGCGCTGATGCTTATACACTGCACCACGTACTTATTTAAGGCCGAGTCCACCTAGGGGAGGTCTAGCACCGGTCGAAAAATTTATGTTGGCCGTGGGCAGAAATCAAACTCTTGTTCGTAGCGCAGTGCGATAACCACTACGCCACCGCTCCTCACACACGATACAGTATAAAAATCCCCCGTATAGCCCGAACAGACTGTTGGGGCAAGTGCTGTGAGCACTTATGAAGGCCGGCACGGCACACGAAGGGGTGGTTGGCCAGCACCACGCCCAGCCGCCTTGGTGGTTCGTAGCGCAGCGCGCTAACCACTACACGACCGCCCCCCACTCACACACGCACTAACCACTACACGACCGCTCCCCACTCACACACGCACGCAGGCAATAGACGCACACGTCAATGGCCCCACTCAAACACAACCCCAACACTCACACATAACGCCGACACGGTCAATCACCGTGGCATTCTCCCAGTCGAGTCTCACCGAGTCTCGAGGCTAATCTTTAGGAGCGTCCTGCGATACACTTGGGTGCTACCAGCCGGGCAGCGGCGGCGGTGACGGTGGTGGCGGCTACGCAGCACGTGACCGCATGTAACGCGGCACCGTGGGGGTAGCGAGGGGTTGGCGTATCACGCGCGCAGATGTTGGGAAACTCAACCCCGCGCCCCCCCCGCCCCCCCCCCCCCCCGCTGACATCTAGGAGGTGCCATACCCCGGGCTGGCCACGAAGCGACAGCACTCAGCGAGCGTGAAACTCCATCTGTTCCATTTGCGCGTGCGGGGGGGTGCGGAGACGCCGCTCGTCGTTTATTGGCCGAAAAAGACCTCGACCGCGTTGTTTGTTACACTACATAGTGATAATTATTAGTATATTTTGGCCTATCCCGTTAACGACTGCTAGTTTGGCTCTGCGCGGGACGAAACGAGAGTGGGGTGGGGAGTGGCGGGGGGGGACCACTAAAATCCCTGAGCAGGCGGATTCATTAGGACTTAGAGAGGATTACAAACGAGTGGAGGGGTGGTGGTGGTGGTAGAGGTGTAATATAAACCCCTCCTGGATTCGCGTCAACTGCCCACCCCCACGTGTAGCTGCTTCCTTAATTAATTCCTTCATTCAATGCTTCGTTCTTTCATTCATTCCTTCATTCGGCCTCTGGGTCTTTTCCGCTCATCTGTGGGTTGAGACGGTGAGCCAGTTAATGATTTATGAGCGAGTGGTTGACTGAGCGAGTAGGTGAATGAACCAGTGGGCGAGGGAGTGGTTGACTGAGCGAGTAGGTGAATGAACCAGTGGGCGAGCGAGTGGTTGACTGAGCGAGTAGGTGAATGAACCAGTGGGCGAGGGAGTGGTTGACTGAGCGAGTAGGTGAATGAACCAGTGGGCGAGCCAGTGGTTGACTGAGCGAGTAGGTGAATGAACCAGTGGGCGAGGGAGTGGTTGACTGAGCGAGTAGGTGAATGAACCAGTGGGCGAGGGAGTGGTTAACTGAGCGAGTAGGTGAATGAACCAGTGGGCGAGCGAGTGGTTGACTGAGCGAGTAGGTGAATGAACCAGTGGGCGAGCGAGTGGTTGACTGAGCGAGGAGGTGAATGAACGAGTGGGCGAGCGAGTGGTTGACTGAGTGGGTAGGTGAATGAACCAGTGGGCGAGGGAGCAGTTGACTGAGTGAGAAGGTGAATGAATCAGTGGGGCAGTGAGTGGTTGACTGAGCGAGTAGGTGAATGAACCAGTGGGCGAGGGAGCAGTTGACTGAGTGAGAAGGTGAATGAACCAGTGGGCGAGCGAGTGGTTGACTGAGCGAGTAGGTGAATGAACCAGTGGGCGAGCGAGTGGTTGACTGAGCGAGTAGGTGAATGAACCAGTGAGCGAGCGAGTGGTTGACTGAGCGAGGAGGTGAATGAACGAGTAGGCAAGCGTGTGGTTGACCGAGCGAGCTCACGAATGGATGAACGAGTCGGCGAGCAAACGCACGCACGAACGAACGACCAAATGGGCGAGCGAGCGAGCGGTATGGTCCAGTGGGAGGGAAGTGCCCCTCACGCTGGCAGGAAGATGCCGTGCATGTCGAGGGGCAGGGCGGAGGGGAAGGGGGCTCGGGCGAGCTCCTCCAGGTCGCGAGCGCCCAGCACCACCAGCAGGGCCTGCTCGCCGCAGTGCAGGGGGCCCACCACCACCAGCAGCAGCCCTGCGTCGACACACAGCAGCAGCGACATCGTCAGCAGGAGGAGCAGCATCAGCAGCAGCATCAGCAGGAGTAGCATCAGCAGGAGCAGCAGCAGCATCAACAGCAGCATCAACAACAGCAGCATCAACAGTATCAGCAGCAGCAGGAGTAGCATCAGCAGGAGCAACCTCAGCAGCATCAGCAGCAGCATCAACAGCAGCAGCATCAACAACAGCAGCATCAACAGTATCAGCAGCAGCAGGAGTAGCATCAGCACGAGCAACATCAGCAGCATCAGCAGCAGCATCAACCGGAGCAGCATCAGCAGGAGTAGCATCAGCAGCAGCATCAGCAGCAGCAACTTCAGCAGCAGCATCATCATCATCGAGGATATTTGTGTTTCTCACCATCATCCTCGTCCGTAGCCCCGGGTCTGGCGATGAAGACGGGCTCCCCCACCCAGCCACGTGGCTCTCGCCACTCTCTCCGAGTCTTCTCCAACAGATCCAGCTTCAAAATCTACCCGTGGGGGGGCACGGTGGCGAGATGTTAACTACCTCGCCTGGTATGCAGGAGGTCATGGCTGCGATCCCACTCTGACGCCTGCTGTATATTTGGAGTTTGCGTGTCTCTCTCTCATCATCATCACGGTGGCTAGGAGATGTTAACTACCTCGCCTGGTATGCAGGAGGTCATGGCTGCGATCCCACTCTGACACCTGCTGTATTTGGAGTTTGCGTGTCTCTCTCTCATCATCATCACGGTGGCTAGGAGATGTTAACTACCTCGCCTGGTATGCAGGAGGTCATGGCTGCGATCCCACTCTGACACCTGCTGTATATTTGGAGTTTGCGTGTCTCTCTCTCATCATCATCATCATCATCACGGTGACTAGGAGATGTAAACTACCTCGTCTGGTATGCAGGAGGTCGTGGGTTCGATCCCGAGCCTGACGTCAGTTGAAAATTGGAGTTTGTGTCTCTCTCCCTGTGGTCGCGTGGATTTTCTGGCTGCCATAAATTGTCACATGGCGATAACCCACTTCGTTGAGCAATCCCTTGTGATAGCCAGTGAGCTACATAACTCAGTGGGGCCTTACCTGGTAAAGTAAAAACAACATTGTTTTTTATTTTAGAAAGACACGGGGAGGGGAGTACGCGCGGGAGGCTCGCGATGTCACGAAGTTCATTGCTTCGCCGCGAGGTGGCAGCATGATCCCACACGATGTACAGACTGCCAAAAGAGTTTAACACGTAGGCTTTCGCCACCAATATTGTCCGTATACTCATACCTGTCAACTCCTTATCAGTGCCCCTACCTTATTACAGACCAATTCAGACCGTATTGGTTACCCAGTGCCCTTATAAATGTCAACGTCCATCCTACACAGTCCCATCACAAGGGAGAAACGCAAACAAATAGACAAAACAATGTTTGTGCCCGTATTGAAACGGCTCTAGGCCGTATGGACCTGAAAACTCCTCGTACAAGCATAACGAGTAAACCGTATGGGTTGACAGTTGTGTATAAACAAGAATTATTTTGGGTTAGGTCGTAAAATCTAACCCAAAAACGTGATCTAACCCAAACAAAACAGTTTTTTTTTACGGATAATATATTGGTCGCGAAAGCCGACACATTAAACTGGCTAACCTTGAAGGTAAGGATACTTTTCTTCAAGCAAGAAAATTGGAGAAACTCCGCATCAAGCGGATGAAGCTGATACCTGGGCTGGCGTTCTCAATAGAGACCCATAGATATACACAGATACCCATAGTGGCTTGGACTGACACAGATCAATAGACTTATAGAGACCAATAGACTTACAATGACACCCATAGACTGAGACTTACTGGGATAAATATATTTGCATTGAGATCCATGAACTTACTTCGCGACCCACGGACTTACAGACTCATATAGAAACCCATAGACTTACAGAGAGACTCATATCACCAGGTATTCATCCAAGGCTGAGTAAACCTAGGGGAGGCCCAGGAGGGGTTCAGATTTATTTCGTCACCGATGTTGGTAATGAGCGAGAATCGAACTCATGTCACCGGGTTCGTAGCGCAGCGCCCTAACCGCTGAGCCACCACCTCCCACAAACAACAACAACATCAACAACCGCCATTCGCCACTAAGTGGCGGTGACATCACCACGACGCTTGTGCCAGGCCATGTGCACCTTGAGGCCACGTGAAGTGTCGAACGCCCGCTGGCAGGAGGTCACGGGGTAGACCCAGGTGCCACAGGGACGCTCACACACAAACACAACAACAACAACAACCGCTGTTCACCACAAATGGCAGTGACGTCACCACGTCGCTTGTGCCAGGCTAGGTGCACTTCCGAAGCCGTGTGAATCGTCGAAGGCTCGCTGCTGGCACGAGGTGACGGGACAGACGCAGGTGAACGTGGGTTAACCGACTGAGACGACCGGCAGATGCACCAGCTCTGCTCCCCCTGCTGTCGCGCGGCCGTTCCCACCTTGGTTGCCACCATGCCCGCCTGCGTCTCCACCACGTACAGGAATCTGTTCTTGACCCCGGAGAAAGCCGGGTTGATGCAGGGCAGGTCCACGCCTGGGGGGCACAGTGGTGGCAAGAAACGTGAGCTGAGTTTGACTCCATTTGGGCAACATGCCCGACCACATTTGCCTCCCCAGTGGCGATGTTCACACACCGCAGCGGGCTAACCGCTACACCACCGCTCCGCACAGACACGCCACCCTCGCCCACCTACCATCCCTCCATCCATCTCCCGCCATCTCTCCCTCCACATTCCCTCTTTGCCTCCACCGCTCACCATCTATGGCGCCACGGTGGTCGAGATGCTAACTCCCTCGCCTGGTATACAGGAGGTTGTAGGTTCGTTCCCGACCCTGATGCCTGCTGTATATTTGAAGTTTGCATGTTTTTCCCGTGGTCGAGTGGATTATTCTATGGGTCCTCCGGTTTTCCCTCCACATTTATAATCGGCGTGCATTTAGAATATTTGGCTGCTATAAATTTCCACGTGATAAGCCACTCTTCGTTGAGGTATCATTTGTGGCCAGGTCACTTCTGAAAAATAGCTATATAGCTCAGTGGGCTTAACCTGGAAAAATAAAAATAGTTTAGATTTTAGTTTAGTTATTTTTTTATTTTGCTAGGTGAGGCCAAGTGAGCGAGTAATTCTTTTTCAGAAGCGACCTGGCCACAAACGATGCCTCGACGAAATATATCGCAACCGTTGCACGTTGATTCTAAATGTGGAGGGAAAAACCGGAGGACCCGGAGACAAATCCACGCGACCACGGGGAGAGAGATAAAGCGAGACATGCACTCTCCAAATATACAACAGGGGATCAGGGTAATGATCGTAGCGGGGGGGGGGGCGTACTTTGTGCGATCTCCTCGGGAATGCAGTACAGGTGTCCGTCCTTGTCGCGGATGGCGCAGGCCTCACTGCCTGGCAGCGTCACCAGGTTCGTGCCGATCTCCACACCCTGCGACCGCGGTCAGAATCACTCGCTCCCACACTTACTCACTCACTCGCTCGCTTCACCCACTCACTCACTCACCCACCTACTCACCCACTCACTCACTCACTCACCCACTCACCTACTCACGCACCCACCTACTCACTCACCAACTCAGTCACTCACTCACTCGCTCCCACACTTACTCACTCACTCGCTCGTTCACCCACTCACTCACTCACCCACCTACTCACCCACTCACTCACTCACCCACTCACCTACTCACGCACCCACCTACTCACTCACCAACTCAGTCACTCACTCACTCGCTCCCACACTTACTCACTCACTCGCTCGCTCACCCACTCACTCACCCACCTACTCACCCACTCACTCACTCACCCACTCACCTACTCACGCACCCACCTACTCACTCACCAACTCAGTCACTCACTCACTCGCTCCCACACTTACTCATTCACTCGCTCGCTCACCCACTCACTCACCCATCTACTCACCCACTCACTCACTCACCCACTCACCTACTCACGCACCCACCTACTCACTCACCAACACACTTACTCACTCACTCGCTCACTCACTCACTCACCCACCTACTCACCTACCTACTCACCTACCTACTTAGTCACTCACCCACCTCCTCGCTCACCCACGTACTCACTCACCCACCTACTCACTCACCCACCGACTCATTCACCCACCAACTCAGTCACTCGCTCACCCGCCTAATCACTAACTAACCCACCTACTCACTGACCTACTCAGTCACTCACCCACTCACTCACCCACTCACTTACCCACCTAATCACTAACTCACCCACCTACTCACCTACCTACTCAGTCACTCACCCACCTCCTCGCTCACCCACGTACTCACTCCCCCACCTACTCACTTACCCACCTACTCACTCACCCGCTACTCACCAACCTATTCACTCACAAACTTACTCACCTACTCACCCACAAACATACTCATCCACTCGCTCACCTACCTCCTCACCTACCTCCTCACGCACCTACTCACTCACCTACTGGACACGAACACTAAGCCACACATCAACCTGCTGATTCACTCTCTCACCTGACCATGAACCCGCTCACCTATGTACATGCATACAGATCCCCCGTATAGCCTTAACCGACTGTTGGGGCAAGTGCTGTTAGCGAGCAGCTATGTAGGGCTCGAACGGCACACGAGGGGGTTGGTGGCCAGCACCACGCCCTGCCGCCTTTGTCTCCCCAGTGGGGATGTTTACACACCGCACCAGGTACTCATTTGAGGCCGAGTCGACGCACACATACACACACACGTATACACACACACACACGTACACACACACACACGTACACACACACACACGTACACACGCGCGCACCTTCTCGTTGGCCTCCAACGGAATAACGAAGCGCAGCAGGCGGCCCTTCGCGGGCGCTCTCCCCTCCTTCACATCGTCGTCCCCTCCTCCTCCTCCAATGCTGCTGTTGCTCATGGACTTGACTCTCTTCTTCTTGTTGTCACGACCCTCCTCCTCCTCGCCTTTGCCGATGTAGAATGCCGCGTAGACTCCGTCTCCGTCGTGCGACGTGACGTCCGCGACCAGGTGGCCCTCGTCGTTGTACGTGTTGGCGTGGTGGATGAAGACGCCCGCGTCCGTGTAGCACGTGACGACGTCTGGAGGCGACGACGACGACGAGGAGGAAGGGGCGGAGGGCGGTGCCGCGTCCTCTCTCTTCCTCGCCAGGACGTGGATGTGAGTCTGACGGCGCACGGGGAGTGGGGGGGGGGGTAGTGAGGAGGTGACGAGCTGTGTCTGTGTCAGTTGCCGTGTCTTTAACGACGTCACGACTCCTGTGGAGGCGATCTGACACGAGCGACGGGTTGGTCCTGAACGTCACCATGTTCGCCAGGAGACCGGGCGTGCCGGTCGGAGGTTTGCGTCAGAGGTCGCAAACGGCTTTTGATTCCTTACCCGTACCCGGCCGCACCAGGGTCACAAACGGGTACCCGTACCCGTACCCGGCTGGGTACGGGTAGCCGGGTATCCGGTAGGGTACGGGTATCGGGTACCCGATTGCGACCTCTGGTTTGCGTGCGACCGATTGCTCGAGGGTGTGGTCGACCCTGACTGAGAGTAAAATCAGTTGCAAACCGGAGTTGCACGCAACCAGGCCGGAGTTGCACGCAACCAGGCCGGAGTTGCACGCAACCGTGCCGCCGCACCTTCTGCCCGGGGTCGTAGGAGAGGCAGCTGGCCATGTTGTCTCCGCGCAGCGAGGAGGTGAGCATGCGCAGCACGTGCAGCACGTGCGGCGACTCCAGGAGCAGCGCGTGCGAGTGGGACAGGCCGAAGCTGTGCAGGTAGCTGGGGCTGATCATGCGGGAGCAGGGCACGCTGCACAGCACCCGCGCCCTCCCCACTCCCGAGTTGTGCTCCTCGCCTGCCCGCAATGGAGGAGGAGCGCGCCTCCGGTTAGCACTCGCCCGGCTACGCACGCTGCGAACGGAGTTCGGCGTACACACGTACGAATGTGTGTAGGGGGGGAGAAGTGCGAGAGAGGGGAACGGAGGGGGGGGGGCGAGGAGGGGAGAGAGGGTGGCGTGGGAGAGGAGAGGGGGGTACGAGGGGAGAGGGGGTGGGAGAGGAGAGCGGGGGCGAGGGGAGGAGAGGAGGGAGGGTGAAGGTGGGGAAAGGAAGGGAAATGAGGGGACGCAGAGGAGGGGAGGGAGATTGGAGGGGAACAGAGAGTAGGAGAGGAAGGGAGGAGAGAGGAAGATTAGAAAGGGAGGGGAGGAGAGAGGAGGGGAGGGGAGAAAATGAGAGGGTATAGGAATGGAGGGATGAGGTGGGAAGAGGAAAGAGGGAAGAGGAGGGATAACAGAGAGGAAAGAGGCCAGGAGAGAACGGAAGAGGGCGTGAAGTCGGGGCGTGGTAATCACACGGCTTGTCGTTAAGAGGACAAGTTGTACGCACCCCCTAATTACTGAGATTATCGTCGGAATTTCACAAAATTGCCCATTATTCTGTTTGCTTGAAGCACCACGAGGCAGGGGTGAAGTGGTGGTGGTGAGGGGGGGCACAGAACTTCACCCGTGCTAATCGGGGGGTGATTACGAGCAACACGCCTTCAATGAGCACACTCAACTAGAGCTACTCTGGTTTTACTTCACCAGGTAAGGCGCCACTGAGCGACACAGCTCTTTTTTCAGGAGCGACGTGGCTGTCGCAAATGACAGCTCAGTCAGGGGGCTCATCGTCGCGCGGACATTTACAGCAGCCAAATACTCGTCCATGGGGGGCGTGACGTTCATTAGAAATGTGGAGGGAAAAGTCGGAGGACCTGGAGGAAAAAATCCACGCGACGTTGGGGAGAGAGACACGCAAACTACAAATACACAGCAACAGGCGCCAGGGTCGGGATCGAACCCACGACCTCCTGCATGCCAGGAGAAGGAGTTAGCATCTCATTACCGCAGCACTCTGGCGGTGCGTGTAAACATCACCACTGCGAGAGACAAAGGCGGTGGGTGACGTGCCGGCCATGCCCGTCCAATGCACCCTCGGCACACGCGCGAGCCGTGCGCCCCTTCGTAAAAGAGCTTCACGGCTCGTCAGATTTCCTCCAGCGTGAAAAATCTAAATTCCGATTCCAGTTCCAAGGTGCGCGGCTAACAGCGGCACTTGGCCCGGCGGGCTGTCAGGAGCCAACCGGCGGAGGGCTTTGCCTTGTTTTGCCCACGTACCGGCGGCGGTGGGCGGGATCTGCAGGAGGTTGTACTTGGTGCGGCCCTTCTCGCCGATCACCGTGGCCACGTTGTAGGCCGTGCCGTCCGGCTCGTACAGCGGGTGAGCCGTCAGCATGTTCATCCCCACCTTCTCGGCCAAGTTCACCTGTGTGAGTGTGTGCATGTGTGCGTGCGCGTGGGGGGGGGGGGGGCGGCAGTGTAGCAAGTTTGCATGCTCGTGCTACAAAACCCGGATTCGATGCCTGCTCGTGGCCAAAAACAGTGGCGAATCTTTGAAGCGGTCCTGGGCGGTGGTCGTGGCGGTGGAAGTTATGGTGGTCGTGGTGGCGGTAGCGGCGGTGGTGGTCGCGATGGCGGTAGCGGCGGTGGCCATGGTCGAGATGGCGGTGGTGGTGGAGGTGGCGGTGGTCATGGTCGTAATGGCGGTGGGAGTGGTGGTCGTTGTCATGATGGTGGTGGCAGTGGTGGCGGCAGCGGCGGTGGTGACACCTTGTCCGACGTGAGCAGCGACGTGGGCTCGATGCGACGCAGCAGCGGCGTCTGGCTCTGAGCGTACACGTCGGTGCCGCAGCGCATCAAGTTCACCGAGCAGTTGTCCGTCACCTCGGGCAACGCGCTCCGCAGCAGCGCCAGGGACCTGCGGGGTCGCAGCGGGACACCCCTCTCAGGACAGACGTTCACCCCTCCCTCACGTCCCCCCCCCCCCCCCCCAGTGAGTGGCAGCTGACCCCGAGCGGCACAGGATTCACGTTGATGTGCTTTCTCGCACCGCGCGCAGACGGCCGTGCTGACCGTAGGCGGTTTAGAGCGCTGCGCTACGAACCCGGCGACCCGAGTTGGATGCCCGCTCACGGCTACCAACACCAGTGACGATTATCTTAACCGGTCCTGGGCCTCCCCTAGGTCGATTCAGCCTCGAATGAGTACCTGCTGCGGTAAAGATCACAACTGGGGAGACAAAGGCGGCCCAGCGTAATGCTGGCCACCCACCCCTTCGTGTGACATTCCGGCCTTCGTAGGTGCTCGCTAACAGGACTTGCCCCAACAGTCTGTAAAGGCTACACGGGGAGTCTGCGTTGTACATTTTTCTCCCGAGTTTAATACATTATTAAACACGTTTAATATATTATTTACGTATTTACTTAATGTAATGCAAATATCATTATTCACGAAATGTGCTCCTTCGTGAGCGTCTCCAGAGGGAATCCCTCGTGGAAACCGAGGGAACCGCGTGACGACGTGTAACGGCGAGGGCGTGCGGACGCCCAACGGCACCTCTGGAAGAGACCCATGCCCTCTGCGAGCGGGACCCTCGTGCCAAATTCTGGCACCAAGATGCGGTTGGCCTCCACGTTCTTCGTGTACGTGTCGCTGCGCAGGTAGCGACTGCTGAACCACACCTCGCCTGGGGGTAGGGGGAGGAGAGAGAGAGACAGCACAGATGGGAGAGAGCGTCGCGTGTGTACGTGACGAGTCGAGACTATGAATTGTGTTTTGGTTATTTTTGATGAAATCATGATTATGATGAGAATGCCATGATTGTTATTTACTGACAATGGTGGTTGGATAATTCCGATAAATTTACTGATTGATACTCTTTGGTTCTTTCGGTAAAGTCACGTAGGTAGAAATAAAATAAAACAATATTTTATTTCTACCTACGTGACTTTACCGAAAGAACCAAAGAGTATGGATTCCTGCAGTCACGAAAGCTTCAAATCAAGATTACTGATTGATGCACCGCATGATCGCAATACTGATTGATTGATCATATGATGGAAATGATTGTGGGCGCCACGGTGGAGAAATGTTAACTACATCGCCTGGTATACAGGTGGTCGTGGGTTACATCCCGACCCTGACACCTGCTTATTTGGAGTTTGCATATCTTTCTCTATGTCGCTCCTCGTGGTGGCGTGGATTTTTCTCTGGGTCCTCCGGTTTTAACATTTAAAATCAACATCGTGTGCATTTAGAGTATTTGGCTGCTGTACATTTCCACGTGGTGATGATGATGAGCCACTCCGTTGAACTATCATTTGTTTCGCTTCGTAAAAAAAAGAGCTATGCCCTACCAGTGGGCCCTACCTCGTCAAATAAAAAACGAAACAGTTCAGTTTATCTATCCCCCTGATGGTCCGATGGCTCCCAACCAGCTGCGCTCACCATCTCTGAAGTCGAACTTGCGCAACAGCGCCAGGCCGTCAAACCAGTGGCAGTAGTGCGTGTCCCCGACACTGTGCTTGCCTGGCCCGTTGCGTATCAGACAACCGCGCAGCCACTCCGGCAGGCCTCCTGGGTTTAACCACAGCGGGGGGTCGGGCGGGGGGGTGTAAGAGTAGACGAGGGGTGGTGGAGACACAAAGAGGCACAGTCACGGATATGTCAACACCAAAATTCGTATCGACGAGTCGTCCGAGCGCCACGTGCCGCGACGAGGAGGGTGTCGCGCGGTCATCGAATTGTGTCTTGTTGCCATTGTTGTTGTTGTCGCGAATAACGCCGGCTGTGACGAGCAGGCGCAAACACGCCCTGCGTGGAGTTACACCGGGCGGCCCTAGAGAGGAAAGCGCAGATTAGCGAACGCAAGCAAGTCGGACGCGCCGTGCCAACTTGTTATGGGAAATGAACAATCCCGGTGATGCTGCAGCGTTCCGCAAGCACAATTACCCACTACCAAAAACGGGCAAGACCCTCCTGTGTATTCGGCGATTGCTTTTACACGTGACTTTCACGCAGCTAAAAGCACCGAAATTGTCATGGGACTTTGGAAAAAAAATGTTGGGACATATATCAATGGCTTTATTTTTATTGTTATTATTTAGTTCATGAAAGGAGCTTCTGTATTATGAGTGCAAGCAAAAATATAGAGGCTGCTAGGAATGTCGTGGCAGGATAAGGTAAGCATCTTGGAGGTTGAGAATAGAAACCTGAGTGCTGTAAATGTAATTGGGCAGTGAAAACACCATCATCATCATCGTGTTGTCAAAACCAACATTGGTTTCGAATGTGTGGCAGCCCTCATACCGATGTCTTATCGGCAAAAGTGCACCCCTCACCGCTGTAACTGGAGCCAAGGCTACAGCGAGCAGTTTGCATGGACGTTCACAATACGTTAAACATCAGCTATTATTTTTTATTTATGCGTTGAAACATGTCAAAAATCCCTCAACTCTGGCAAGCGTCCTGGAGGAGATTCCACAGTCTCTCTGTCGCGTCGCCAGACCACCATTGCCAGCTAAATTGATGCAAATAGCCCACGGGTCAGAGCTGACATCGGTTCCGCCCAAGACAGCAACAACTTCATGCGTACAAATTAATAGAGGCGGTTGATAACAAAAATAGAGCGACTTATTTTTGAACATTTGGAGCGGGCATCTATCATATGATTCACCGTCATCGGCCACACAAAGAAATTGCAATCACCGAAGAAGAAACGCCACAACACGTGGTACTGGCATGTGCAATATCTGCTCTTACAATCTTACCCCGCTCCCGCCCCACCGTTTAAACCTGCCGCACCGGGAGATCGAATCGACCCCCCCCCCCCCCGGGGCCTGGCCTGGCATTGCTGCGAGAGTGGCGTGAGTGAATCACGCACGGCAGAAAGCTCATTGTCTGTGTGTGTAGTGCGTGTGTAGTGTGTGTGAAGTGTGTGTAGTGTGTGTGTGTAGTGTGTGTGTAGGGTGTGTGGTGTGTGTGTAGTGTGTGTGTAGTGTGTGTGTAGTGCGTGTGTGTGTGTAGATCGTGTGTGTGTGTAGATCGTGTGTGTGGTGTGTGTGTGTAGATCACCTAGGTTGACTCGGCCTCAAATGAGTACCCGGTGCCGTGTGTAAACATCGCCACTGGGGAGACAAAGGCGGCCGGGCGTGGTGCTGGCTACCCCCACCCCCTCGTGTGCCGTGCCGGCTTTTATAGGTGCTGCTCGCTAACAGCACTTGCCCCTACAGTCTATTACACGGCGCGTGGCAGGCGGTATTTGCGTTTATTCATCATCATCATTGTTATTGTTATGTCCCGCGAAAGCAAGAATCGGTCTTTAAAACGCTGTACTGTATACTGGGACACTTCCGAGTTTTGAGTTACGACAAGGAAATACAGCACACACATCACACACACGACACGTACACACACACGACACGTACATACCACACACACACTACACACACACATCACACACACGACACTCACACACGACACGTACACACACACACCACACACTGCACACATCACACACACACCACACACACCACACATCACACACACACCACCACACACATCACACACACGACACGTACACACACACATCACACACACACCACACACACCATCACACACCACACATCACACACACACACCACACGCACACATCACACACATCACACACACACCACACACACACATCACACCTACGACCCGTACACACACACACACATCACACACCCACACACACACATCACATACACACATCACACCCACAACACTCACACACACGACACTCACACACACGCGACACGTACACACACACATCACACACACAACACTCACACACGACACGTACACACATATCACACACACGACACGTACACACACACATCACGTACACACATCACACACGCGACACTCACACACACCACACATCACACACACGACACACACATCACACACACCACACACACGACACACACACACATCACACACACGACACGCACACACACACATCACACACACCACACACACCAAACACACATCACACACACGACACTCACACACACGACACCACGCACACACACATCACACACACGACAATCGCACACACATCACACACACGACACGCACACACACATCACACACACTACACACACACCACACACACACATCACACACACACAACACACACACACATCACACAACACACACACATCACACACACGACACGTACACACATCACACGACACGCACACAACCAGCGCGCAAACACAGCACACACACATCACGCACACACACACAACCAGCACACAACCAACGCGCACAAAGAGAGAGAGAGACTTCCTCTTCTACTGTACCCGAGATCATCAGCTTGACGGGCTCGGTGCACTCCTCCTCGTCCTGTCGCCTGAGTGGCATCATCATCATCACCACCACGCGCCTCTTCCTCCTCCTCCTCCTGCTGCTGATCCTGCTGCTGCTGATCCTGCTTGGGTGCTCGCTATCATCAACAACAGCAGCTGCTATCAGCACTTGCCTCTCTCGACCCGTCTGTTTCGTCTCTGTGTGTGTGTCTGACTCTGTGTGCCGGTCTTCAAAGTTGACAAGCACTTGCCCCCGACTGTCTGTTAAAGGCTACACGGGGGACCTTTGTCTTTGTGTGGCTGCGTCCCGGTCTTAATAGGAGCTCGCTAACAGCAACACTTTGCTCCGACCAGCCTGTAAAGAGTTGGTTATTGTGTCTGTGTGTCTGTGTATACGTCTCTGTGTGTGTCTGTGTATACGTCTGTGTGTGTGTGTCTATTGTATGTGTATACGTCTGTGTGTGTGTGTCTGTGTATACGTCTGTGTGTGTCTATTGTCTGTGTATACGTCTGTGTGTGTCTATTGTATGTGTATACGTCTGTGTGTGTGTCTATTGTATGTGTATACGTCTGTGTGTGTGTGTCTGTGTATACGTCTGTGTGTGTCTATTGTCTGTGTATACGTCTGTGTGTGTCTATTGTATGTGTATACGTCTGTGTGTGTCTATTGTATGTGTATACGTCTGTGTGTGTGTCTATTGTCTGTGTATACGTCTGTATACGTCTGTATACACAGACCCCGTGTGTTTATGTTGAGTCTAAATGTCACTCTGTGTGTGTGTCTGTGTATACGTCTGTGTGTGTGTCTATTGTATGTGTATACGTCTGTGTGTGTGTGTCTATTGTCTGTGTATACGTCTGTATACACATACCCCGTGTGTTTGTGTTGCGTCTAAATGTCACTCTGTGTGTGTGTCTGTGTATACGTCTGTGTGTGTGTCTATTGTATGTGTATACGTCTGTGTTTGTGTCTATTGTCTTTGTGTACGTCTGTGTGTCTATTGTTTGTGTATACGTCTGTGTGTGTATTGTATGTGTATACGTCTGTGTGTGTGTCTATTGTCTGTGTATACGTCTGTGTGTGTGTGTCGACGGATATGTCCCCCGTGTGTGTTTATGTTGCGTCTAAATGTCACTCTGTGTGTGGTGCCCGCAAGGTGAATGAATGCCTGGGATGCCGGGGCACTGCGAGTGCTGATCTGTAACAGCGAGAGGGAGAGAGGCGGGAGATGAATGTGTGGGGGGTATGGGCGGGTGGCTAATCGTTGTGAAGATTACTTTGGCTTGGCTGCTTGCTAGCTAATACACGCATTGTTTGTAGGTCGACTCAGTCTCAAATGTGTACCCGGTGAGGTCTGCAAACATCGCCACACTGGGGAGACAAAGGCGGCCGGGCGTGGTACTGGCCACCATGTGCCGTGGCGGCCTTCAAAGATGCTCACTCACAGCACTTGCACAAAAAGACGTTCAAGGCTACACGTGGGATCTTTGTTTTCATATTTAATGTGTACAGTGTAGTGTGGCTTACAGTATTGTGTATAGTGTTGTGTAGTGTGTGGTAAATATTGTCATGTGTGGTGTTACGTCGTGTGTAGGTGGTGCATCTGCCAGTCATTTCAGTCAACCCATGGCAACTGGGTCTATTCCGTGAACTGTCAGATCAGCGATCCTTCGACACTTCTCGTGGCCTCAAATTGCATTCCAGACAGTCCTCAACTTACAAACACCCGACTTACGAACACCCGTACTTGCGAACACCAAACTTACGAACACTCGACTTACGAACACCCGACTTAGGAACACCCAACGTACAAACACCGGCACTTACAAACACTCGACTTTCAAACACCCGACTCACGAACACCCGTACTTGTGAACACCCAACTTACGAACACTGGACTTACGAACACCCGACTAACGAACACCCAACTTACACACTAAACGATCAGTGAGCTCTGGCAGCCGAGGCTGCCTTGGCTGGGTCACATAGTCACATGCTAGCGACCGCGTGCTCAATCAGAGTTTGTTTGGCTGCATACAGATGGCTAAACTGGCACGGTACAGGCTAGAAAAGACATGGACTGATGCAGTACAGAAATATGTGGAGCTGATTGGACTTTCCGAAGACCGTTACCAGCGGTGGTCAAGATCGACCTCTTTGGAGGAGGCTCGTGAAGGGCTCTGTTGAAGAGTTGGATGCAGTCGCCCTCCAGCAACAACGCAGGGCATATAAGCAACGCTCAGAACAATGAGCAGAGTGCTGTGCGGATAAAATACAGCAAGTTGGCGTATTGGGGAGCACAGGTGGTGAATCTGGCACAGGTATCGTGGTGATATCACCGTCATTATGGCAATGGGCGTTGTGTCTCTTATATAAGTATTTGTGGATATGTAATGATGTGCATGTGTGTCTGTATATATTATCTGTGCATCTATGTCTGTACATGTGGCTGTGCGTCTACGTGTTTTATTGTATAATTGTATCTGTGTGTATATATATTCGTCTACATCTATGTGTACAGCGTGTGGAAATGCGACTGTCAGAATAGCATGATCAGTGGTTCTTGCGTTTCTGACCACCCCTCCCCTAACCAAACATGTTAATATTTAACGATTATGCTCATGCCTCTTCTATGCTATTGGCCAAGTAAGGTTTTTGCTGTTTGCAGCAAATAGTGGTGTGTTTGCGCCGTGGCGTTTTGTTAATATTACTTCACCCGGAATGGAACATTCTACAAACAAGTTGAAGGTACCTCAATGGGTTCTCCCTTATATCCAGTTGTAACCAATGTGATACATATGCCATCCAGGCATCCACCCTACGTCCGTCCTTGTGGAAGAGAGACGTAGATGACACGTTCGTCATCTGGCCACATGGCCGACCAGCTCTGAACCAATTCCTCAACCACATCAATTCGATTCACCCAGCCATCAAATTCACCATAGAAGTAGAAAATGATGGCAAGCTACCATTCTTGGATGTTTTAATCGAAAGGAGACCAGATGGCTCAATGGGACACTCTGTCTACAGGAAAGCCACCCATACGGATGCCTACCTAAAACCTGACTCCCACCACCATCCATCCCAGAAGAATTCCCTTATCAAAACTCTACACCATAGAGCTCGATGTATTTCCGACCACCATCACCTAGCCAGTGCACTGGAACATGTACACCAAGCTCTCAAGATGAATGGATACTCAGACTACACAATCCGTAAAGCTATCACCCCAACCGTTGGGAAAGAACCATCTGAGGACCCAATCAAAACCATCACCTTGCCATACATAGCAGGGATCACCAAAAATATTTCCAAAATCATGAACAAACACAAGATCCAGGTTCGATTTAACACAGTACATAAAATTTGTGATCTGATCCCATCTGTGAAGGATGTGATCCCTGACATGCAATACCCCGGCGTCTACAAACTAATCTGTGTCTGCGGCAGCAGTTACATTGGGGAAACTAAGCGACATGTCTCGGACCGTGTTCGTGAACATAAGGCAGATCTGAAACACGGTAGGACCAATATCTCGGCCGTGGCTGATCATTGTTTTAATGTGGTGGGCTCACACGAAATTGATTTCTCTTAGACGAATGTACTCTGCAAACCCACTGGCTATCAACAAAGATTCGTTCATGAAGCCATCCATATAGACAGACACAATTTTATCCGAGAACATGGGTACAGACTTAGCAATCCTTGGAAGGACGTTATAAACCAGTTTAAGTCATAACTGGCTGTGATGTTCCCATCCTACCACCTTCCGATGTAAACATTTTTTTCCCTTCCCCGTGGCTTCGGCTCTCCGATTTCACATTATCAGGTTGAATTTCTCGCGCCAACGTGGCCACCTACGGACGCCGACCTCTGCGATATTACATTAACATGCTATTTTCTCACGTTAACATCACAGACGATGACGGGGCTGTGATACGATTAAAAGGTGACGGGAAATACAAGGGAGACACTTGGAAGTGAGGGTGTCTCTGCCCACCTGTGGTGTTAATATGATTAAAGTTGAGGTTAAATAAGAGCGGACACTTGGAAGTGAAGGTATTTTTGCCCATCGATTCCACCCCGCCCGTCCGGGGCCCCCATCTTGGAAATGTTCGATATTTTATTGACACTTATAACCTGCGGTTAGCGGAGCAAAAGTAACGTGTTTTTTTTAACGAGATTTCAAAGACGAGACTGCTATGATGATTCCCCAAGCAAATTTTATTTTTATGAACATCAAACTTAGCAGCTGGGAGCCGCTTGAGGCGGCAAGATATTTTAATGAATAATTTTCAGTTAAATTCCGCGACTGTAATTAATAATCTTCGGTTAAATTCAATTTAATTTCGCGGGCAAATAATTGAGCAGATTCACGACACATGTCATCGGTGGCAGCGATTAATTCGTGGATCGAGATGGTCACATGGTCAAGTGGCACACCGCTTTGTTTTCCCTTTATTTGATCGGCTGGTGTCCCCTTTAATTTCGTTCAGCTTTCATTGTTTCACAGCGCCACGGTCTCACGGTACACGCATTCACACAGCGGGGCTGTCACACAGTCGTACAATGATGTCCCATCGATGTTCGTAAGTGGCACACAACCTGCCCTGGTCACACCGGAAAGGGTTCAACTGAACCCCACTGGCACATTTGTGGGGGGGTCAAAGCCGGCCGTCTGGACAGACGGATCACTGATGAGGATCTTGTTGGGTACATCCACGCGTCACAATTCCTCGCCCCAGGCAGTGCGGGTATCCTGCATTCTCGAGTCTTCGGGCTGTGGCCATGCCCACCCAGGTGTGTCGGAACTTCAGACGCACGCGGGGGTGGCGGCTTGGAGCATATGGAAGTGAATGAGCAAATCCGGTGATGCCACATCTATCGTGTCCAGCATCTTGGCCACGGCAGCTTGGCGGCGAATTTTGGTAGCGGCAGAGAGAGGGGGGGGGGGGGTAATGCAGAGTACTGGCGGCCACGATCGTGCGGTTGCCCCGATCGCACCGGAGATGGTTCTCAGGGTGACATTCAGCTGAGTGTTCACCAGTTTAACACGTAGGCTTTCGCGACCAATATTATTCATAATCAACGTTTTTGGGTTTAGATCGCGTTATTTATAAATGTGTCGTAACCCTCCACCATTCTGTCGAATTGCCCGATGATGCTGGATGCGATTACCAGCGAAACGTCGTACTCAAATTGTAAATGTTGTGGTTTCACGCTTCAACACACCGGTGGGCTAAAGCAGTGAACTATTTGTCTTTTGTCAACGTGACACTTTTTTACTGATTGGCCGTGTCGGGTGGTGGAGAGTGTTCACCAGTTTGGTGTGAAGCCGATTGAGTCCATACGGGTTGCGCAGTGTAATGCGGGCGCCTCATCCCTGTTCTGCTACAGGGCTACAGGGAAGCAGAACGTAGTTTACCGGGCACAAACACCCCAGTGTTGAGCCAGCCAGCCGGGCCAGCAGACAGTCCCGCGAGCAGCAACTTGCCGTTGTCAGACTCCTGTCCAACATCGCGACTAAGAAATGCCGGAACTTTGAGCTCGTAGGTGGCTCTGGCGTTGTGCAGGTGAAACGCACTGCAAACGGGTCTTGTACTCGGCCAGGGTCACCATCTGCTGCAGTAGTCGGCTACCATGGCCAACGCCACCGTTCAGATAATTTTCCGGGCTGCCAAAGTCAAAGGCTTGGGTTGCAATGCCGATGTCATCCGCGTTGGACAAATTGTCGTGACTCTGTAGGAGGCGGGTCATTGATGTCAACGTTGATGAGTGTTGGGGGCAAGATCGGAATCCTTTTTTTTTTTTCCACCTGCAAGGGAGCTGACCTGGAAGCAGCTATTTTTGAGAAGCTCGATGGTGTCGACTTCTGAGCGCGGCAGGATCCGTGACAGCTTTAAGCTGATGTGCAGTGTGCCAGACGGTATCGTGACGCTGCTGTGAGGTCCGCCAACACTGTGCACCTGTTTTGAGACCACTCATCAGCAAACGTTGGAAATGCTGGGGGCAGGGCCTGGTCAACAAGCGCTTCGGCCGTGGCGGAAACCAGCCTGTTCCGACGCTCACGATGTTGTGTTGAGAGTCGGCGTGAGATGCGTTCGAGCACCGATCACTCCAACAGTTCTAGACACAACACTCAGAAGGGAGATGGGCCGGTAACGAGCTGGCACA